TGATTATTACCAGTACTCAAAGCATTATTAAAACCTGATTATTACTCAAAGCATTATTTTTGGAAAATACAATTAAAATAAGACAGACAAAATAGCTAGCATAAATTAATATTTTTATTAAATACCAGCAGAAGATAAAAGAAATACTATTTACAGAGATCATGACTTTTTGCACAGGTTGCTTATAATTCGCGTCAAAGATAAACCCATTTATAAAGAAAGACAACAAAAAACATACTAAGAATTCAAAACATTATTGATGCTAAGATGAGTGTTTTTAGGATTATTAGTGACATATTTGATGGTATGAATAATCATGAGGGTTGAAGTCCTGATATTCATTCAGTCTCTCCATAATATTTTGTTTGTTTGATGTTCAATTTGCAATAACATAGGGGGGCCATAACAATGACAGCAATAAACTTTTTGGTTACTGAATTAGTTTGATAAGCTTGTCACCTGCATTCCCTCATTGAAGTCGACTGGTTGCTTTTCCGATAATTATTTTACGAGTCAGTCATTAATTGGCTTAATGCTTTTGCATAGTGTTCAGACAAGCATTTTCCTAATTACCGAGACATACTGGCAAAATGTTTTTAATATTTCACATAGTTGTTTTACAACGAATATTCAAAGTAGCTAGGTACATATAGTTGCAAAATACAATTACGAAATCAAATTCTATAAGATTGGCTTCCATGGTTACTATTACAATGTACAAGAAATACACAGAAAAATAATAGAATATGGAAGACATTGTCCAAATGTGGACAAATGGACTTGTCAAAACTGGAAAATTATTTTTAATACCAGTTCAAATGCATTCCTCCAATTTACTGCAGTATACTAGTAACACATGAAATAAGCATTATCCACTCTAGCCTAAATTCATGCAGCATTCCACTTGATATACACCACTCCACAAAGGTCCAGCTATGATGAGTATAGCTTATAATTCTATTGATTGCAGATTAGATCAGTTGAATGAAAATAGTATTGACATAATCATTTTAAAACACCTGAGATCATAGATGACACAGGACTGACTTCTGAGTATTCTGTGTCTCAAAATGCTCATGACATGCCATAGTGAGTGGAAATTTGTATAAATCTGAATGGGAATGAATAGACTATCATCAGACCTAGGCGCTAGTAAGTGGAATGTCACATACTGTAAAATTCTTTTGTTTCGTTTGCAATTAATTTTCGCTGAAGGAATGATTCAGTGAAATAAAATCCAGCGAATATGCTTTTTTTGCTATATTTTAGATTCAACTTGTCAGAAATCAGTGAAAATAAATTCTATACAAAACACGCAAAAAAGGAAACTTAATTTCAGCTAAAATAAAGTATTTTACAGTATATGTCCATCTTGAATGTCACATGATATTCTAAACTTTGAGTGATACATATCAACTTCTAAGATAAATATTCAGATTTCAAAGCAACAAAATGCCTGTACACCTAACAACAAAGAAACCTATACAATTATCAAATGTTACTGCATGTACATCTACCATAATTCCTCTATTTGAAGCACAATCCAATAATAACACACTCTAAAATTCTAAATAAACTTTTGTCTCAAAATCACAAAATAACAATAAAAAAAATCCAATAATTCTAAAATCATACAATACTAAAAACAATTGTAATTTGTCAAATTCACATAATGTGATTTATGTATTTTATATTTTATTGAAATTTAAAGCTTATTTATATCGTATGGCAGTGTGATAACAATGTAAACGAGTCCAGGTCAATGAAATGGGTCAGAGGTCAAGTCACTCCCAGAAATATTGCACTGATCTTTCATGACACATATCAACTTTGACCTTAACCCTTTCACCACCATATGATCTTTTGTCTCTTTCCATAAAATAGTCTGCTTCAAGATTTTCATTCACAAAAGTTGATTTGATCTTTGAACAGTATTAAATTCTGTCAATTTTGCTGAAAATTAATGCCAAATGAGAGAAATTACTGAAAATATTTACACCCAAAAAAATAAGTCAGTGAAAATGTGTTTGTGATTTGGTTAATCATTTTAGACACTCTTTGTTTTCACCATTTACAGTGGTTTTCAAAATAAAAAAATATTTGAATTTTTTCAAACTTAAATTTGAGTTACTGCATTCTGTACAAATCAATTTACTAACATGCATTTGTGTTTAACAACAGCCTACAAACAAATTGCCTCAACACGTTAAATACAATATTTGTACCACAAACAACCGCGACAAAATTAGCCCATGATTAATTAAATAGGTATGTACAACAGTTTATCAATGCAGTTTTTCCTAAGTGGACACAATTACCTAGTCACTTTGGTAATCCTCTGTTCATATCATTTAATATAAATAAATCTTGTTATTATTTCAATTCAAATATGTTTGTTCGAACACAGGGACAGATTCAGAAAATGTACTTATTGTATTTGGCTTGTATAATACTAGTTTGGAAGGACATCATGTGATGTTGATGTGTTTTAAATATAATTCATTTGACAGTTATGTAACCATAAAATAAATTAATGCACACTCATTATATATTCCAGAATATCTTAATTTAAACCATAATTACAAAAATATAACTGTACAATAACCCACTAAAAACAAAATACCATGAGATATGTGGAGAGCGCCCTCTACACTTTTGTTTTTATATTATACACTTTAAACTACAGAGGGCACTCTTTATAGCGCTATATCATAACTCAAGCAAGACAAGAGCATATAAATACAGTAAATCCATATGGTTAGAATCTTTTATGCCTCAAAATGTGGTCATTTTATTAATATTAAGTAGTGGTGAGAGATGCATTATGGGATACTGTAAGCAGCTGGGTAAATATAAAATTGACTCTGAAATGATCTGATGTCATTGAAGGATGGACTACTTAATATAAGAAATGATTTTAAATTAATTTATGGACCCGAAAACACAAAAGAGTTAATATGGTAAAATTCTAATTGCTTGTAGGACTGGTCCTACTTCAAATGAGAAATAAAACTACGGTTAGGAAATTTGTCATGCAATTAGAATACATGTATTTTGAGTAAGCTTTTCTATTATTTCAAATGATACCAGTGCTGCATGAAGAGAAATTCTGCTTGTCATGCTGAAGATATCTTTTATCTGATCACAATGATAGACGTGAACACAGAGGTAGGAAATCATTTGAGTTGTGATTGGACAATCCTAGTAACATGCTATAGTAAAGTAGTTAAATTTTATCGGCGATTCTTACATTGTTGATCATCAAGGTGCTTAAAAATAAATCATATATACTTCATCTTAGTCATCGATCAATGTTTCCCCATCATTTTTTTTCTCGATCGACTTTTTCTGATAGCACTGCATTACCATAATAAATAACGGCACCATACATATACCGCATATTGATGCCATGACGTACGCTACGACCATCAATGTAGCTTCGTTGTTTTCTGGGATGTGGTAAGCGCAATCCGATGAGTTATCTGTAGAATGATTTGTAGAACGTATTATTATTCATTTAGTAGCAAAGACAATGTATTAGATTGAAAGATTCTTCGTAGCAATGCAGTAACAGGGTATTATATCATAATTAAAATACTGAAAATCGATCTCATTTCGTGAGAAAAATTTTCAAGAATTTTGTTAGTCAGTAAAAATCTTAGTGTAAATTTTTCTTGAGTCCAACATCGTGGGGTGCCGATGACTTTTGCAAAATTTCGTCTTAGTGTAAATTTTTCTTGGGTCTTACATCGCGGGGTGTCAATGACTTTTGCAAAATTTCGTCTTAGTGTAAATTTTTCTTGGGTCTTACATCGCGGGGTGTCAATGACTTTTGTAAAATTTCGTCTTAGTGTAAATTTTATTTGGGTCCTACATCGTAAGGTGTCAATGACTTTTGTAAAATTTCGTCTTAGTGTAAATTTGTTTTGGGTTCTACATCGTGGGGTGTCAATGACTTTTGCAAAATTTCGTCTTTGTGTTAATTTTTATTAGATCCTACATCTTCACTAATGCCATAAAATCCTTAAATTCATAGTACTGAAACATAAATAGTTTACAGTATGTCATAAACAGAATACTGGATGTGATAATGTTGTAATCTTACCATAAGAGAATGGACCCAAGACTTGTGGTGAAATTGTTGAGTCATCAGCTGAAACATACAAAATAATGAAATGTATTAGTTACCTGTACTGTCCCTTAAAGATGTATCCCCACTTTGTATGATCTACTGAAAACCCCTATAAAAGCTTTGTACAGTTTATGAGAAATCTTATCAAACAGGATAGTAAAATACTTTTTTATTTTCACATGAAATTAATTATCGCTATTTTCGCTGAAGGAGTAAAAATAAAATCCAGCGAATAAACCCATTTTTCTGTATTTTACATTCAACTTGTCAAAAATCAGTGAAAATCAGCGAAAATCAATTCTATTTTACAGTAACCAATTGCATTGCTGATTCGGTCAACTCTGTTTCCATGGTGATAAAACCTTACCAGCACAACTTGATGCGGCAAATCCCACTCTTTGATTTTCTCTATCAAATATGACATAAAATCCTTCCATGATAACCGCACCAATGACTGTGCCCGAAGCTGACGTGGTGATCGCAAACTTGTAACAATCATTTATTGTGTTACTGACATCATCTACTTTACGCATATATTGCTGGAAAAGAAATTGAGAAGAATGAATTTTAAATTTCAAGGTGCATTATATTTATTAAAAATAGACATTGCATATGGTCTCATGCAATTAATATGTAAGAGTCTAGTCCATATCAAGAACATTCATGCCACATTTCAATGCAATCTGACTAGCAGTTGTTCTATAAAGAGACGAACAATGACGACATGTCCAGTCAACCCATGAGCTCCGCTCGATCATCTTTTTTGACAGCAGAGCTAATAAAGCAATGTATTATGATGGGTACTAGAGTATAACTTTACAACAGTAATGACTGATGTCAATTCTTGTGATGTCACTTCCTAAAATACATCAAGGTGCATCATGGATAATATGTAGGGAATAAAACCATAATTTCATTTGAGTTTGGCAAAAATGGAACTATTTTATTTAAAGGATGAATCTGGCATCAAATAATCATTTATTACTTACCTTTGGTGATATTATTAATTTATAAACTTGACTTAGATTTTCAGAAAGTAATGAAATTGAAAAAGAAGGAAATATTTGCCAAGGTGTTACATCTTCCCCGTAACACATTAGCTCTGCCCCTGTCCAGAAACCTGGTGTAATGGTGACCTGCAGGAAATGAAATGTGACATCATTATCTTTATACCTTATTATGCATCTAAGTAAGACATTGTAGAAATAAACTGGCCATAAAGTTGCATACATTTGTACATCTGCAATCAGTTTACGCTGCTAGTTCCTGCTTCAGAAGGTGCTCTGTTGCGTGATTTTATTGCGTTTAAAGACATTCTATCCAATGGATCTTGGAGGCTTACTTTCAATAGATCGCAGCGAAACTGCTGCTCTGCTAAGTTTGACACCCCGATCTACACCCAAGTCGACGGCAAGTCAAGGAGGGGATGATCACCGCCGCAAGGCCAGGAGAACTGCTCTACTGCTCCTGGCCAAGTAGTTTCGACGGAACTCGGCTCGGCTGTTGCATGCTTGCACACGCATCTACCAAGAGCCTCCCTCAATAGCGGCACTGTGGAGTCAACGCACACTGAGCGGGATTCCCACTTAGAGGTGTATCAGGTTCATTAATGTGATTTTTTTTTGGAGGAAGATGACACTGGGTGACATTTTAAGAAAAAAATGTATCAAATTTTAGATTAGCTTCTGCTATAGTTTCTTTCGTCTTGGGTGGTCCAACTGCCGGCATTGAAACTTGGCGTAGGTGGATTTTTCAATGAATTTTATGATCTTTTTTTGAAATTTTCAACACCAAATAAGTGCCCACCAGCCGTGAAATCACCCAGGGCAATATTTTGGATGGGCAAATTTACGACAGAATCTGGTAATACATTTAAATGTGGTACAGATGCATTTGAATGTGTTACAGATGCATTTGAATGTGTTGCATATGCATTTGAATATGTTACAGATGCATTCGAATGCATTACAGATGTATTTGAATGTGTTACAGATGCATTTGAATGTGTTGCAGATGCATTTGAATGTGTTGCAGATGCATTTGAATGTGTTACAGATGCATTTGAATATGTTACAGATGCATTTGAATATGTTACAGATGCATTTGAATGTGTTGCATATGCATTTGAATATGTTACAGATGCATTTGAATGTGTTGCATATGCATTTGAATATGTTACAGATGCATTTGAATATGTTACAGATGCATTTGAATGTGTTGCATATGCATTTGAATATGTTACAGATGCATTTGAATGTGTTGCAGGTGTACTTGAATGTGTAAAAAAAAGTGTTTGAATTTGATTAAGACACATTTGAATTTTTTGCAGATGATTTAAATTTGCTGCAGATGATTTAAATTTGCTGCAGATGTTGTAAATGTGAACATGCATCTTCCTTATTTGGGCAATGTGTATCATAATCACATTGTAGTCAAGTACTTTCCTTATAGCATCTAATGAAAATAGAATCGCGATAAACATTTAATGGTCAGAATAGCATGTTTTTGCCAGCACTGCTGTTATTTCCCACTGAACATAAAAGGTAATGTTCATGAGACTTCCACAAAGCATCCACTCAGCCAATTGTGCTTCTAATAATATGTATGAATTATACAGATTCCCAGCAATGGTTACATCACTTCAAACATGTTACTGAAACTGAGCAGGCCCTGAACATGCATTAGTCATAAATGATACTTACATTGATTGTACTGTCAATGCCTTTGACAATTCTGTTAAAAACTTTTAAAGGGACTCTTAAATTAGTTGTACCACTGTCAACGATAGTCTTGTCAAAATTGTACTGTCGATTCAAACAAGAATTCAAAGCATATTAAAAGACGTTCTGTAAAGGGGCATATGCAGTATGGCTCATGCAGTGTACTCTCAACGGCATTATGTTTATATTTTGTTACAAATCTTGGAAAAACATTAAAATCCATGCGTACAGTTTTGCAATGACTAGGTTCTTTAAAATTGATGTTCTATGAACCTATTTCAGATGCCATTAAATTAGTCGCTACACAAATCACATAGTTGTGGTTTAAAGGTTGGCGTTGTTACTTAGAATATTTTTCAGTTTATTTTACTGGAGACAATGCAAAACAATAATTAGTTGTTTAAACAATAACAAGAGTTATAATATCCCACAATTCCATGCTGCAATCTCAGGGATTGAGGAGCCCTGTAATATATGCCAACATTTAACAAAAATCATTTTGTAACAGACAATACCATATTTAGCTACATTAGAAGAGCTTCCCTAATTGGTGTTATTGCATGTTAGATCATTAAACAGGGTCCATAGCACCAAGAGCCAAATGATTTCCAACACTTTTTCCAGACCTTTTCTCAAACTTTCTTGCATTTTTCTTAATTCAGGCCAACATCATCACCAAAGCGCATCAAAGTTCTGAGGATATGGTAGTTCCCTGGAGAAAACGTGTCTTTCTATAAAAATGAACTAATAACTATGAAGAAATTTGAAGACTTTTCAAAGATTTCTTTTTTTAATTTTCCTGTAATTTAAAGACAACTCAAAGACTTTCCAGACCTCAAAAAACCAAAGACTTTCAAAGGTTTTTCCCAACACTATGGACCCTGTTAAAATCGAATGACCAGAATCACCTGTCACTTACTAATAATAAAATCAAGAATACAAATAGAAGTTTAAAAATGCAGTAGGTTTTACAATGAAAGACTGGAAATTATAGTGAACTCACTTCTTTACAATCCATTTCAAGACTTTTACCATCAACTTCCATATCTGTGATTACAACTTCATAGTACCACTGTTTTCTTATATGGCTATAAAATATACTACCAGTATACAATTCTTCATCAATTCCACCAACAGTCTGTAAATATAACAATAAATATTAAATCCAATGATGCTCTGCTTATTCATACCTAGAGAGAAGTTTTTGCAACATGTACAATGAAAACACATGGTAAGTATCGACCAATGAAAACATTGCGTTTTGATGATAGGCAGTGTGGGACACTTACCATAGTACCACCCATCTCAGACACAGACCCTACTGTGCCACATAGCAGCAATGCAAATACTGGGCTGTGTAGGTATG